GGGAAGATACCCAGCAGGGGAATAGCTGGGTCAAATGGGACTTCCAGTCCTAGTCCTTTGAAATATCTCCATACTGATTTCCACAGTGGTTGCTGGGCCGGGGATTTAGCTCAGTGGTTCTGCCGCCTGCCTCACAAGCACAAGGTCCTGAGTTCGATCCCTGGTACCAAAAAAAAAACCCCAAAACACAGTGGTTGCTCCAGTCTACACTCCCACCAGCAGTGGAGCAGTGGTCCTCTTTCCCCACAGCCCCTCCAGCATTTGTTATTTGTTGATTTCATGATAGAAACCATTCTATCTGGGGTGATGTGGAAACTCAGCATTATTTTCATTTGCATCTCTTGAATAACCAGTGATGTTGAACATTTTTTCATATGCTTATTTGCTATTTCTACTTCCTTGTCAGAGAAATGTTTGTTCACTTCAGATCCCCATTTTTGGATTGGGTCTTTAAATTTGGAAGGTCTGATTTTTTTAAGTTCTTTGTAGATTTGAGATTGTAGACTTTTGTCTGAGGAAAAGCAGGTGAAAATTACTGCCCACATTGTGGGTTGTCTCTTCACACTGTTGGTGGTTTCTCTTGCCATCCAGAAGCTTTTCAATAAGAAGAAATCCCATTTGTTGATTGTATGTGTTAGATCACGGACAACTGAGGTTTTGTTCATAAAATCTTTTCCTACACCAATGTCTTCAAGAGCTCTACCTAATTACTCTTCTAGCCAGTTCACCATTTCTGTTTTAATATTTAGATATTTAATCCATTTAGATTTTAGTTTAGTGCAAGGTGAGAGACATAGATCTAGTTTTAATCTTTGGCAAGTTGAAATCCAATTTTTTCAGCACCATTTATTTAAAAAGTTATCTTTCCTCCAGTAAGGGTGTTTGGCTCCTTTGTCAAAGATGAGGTGGCTGAGTGTGTGTGGAGTTGTTTCTGCAACTTGCAATCTGTTCCACTGATCCTCAGGTCTGTTTCTTTGTCAGTACCACGCTGTTTTTATCACAGTAGCTTTGTAGTGTACTTTCAAACTGGGGCTTGTGATACCCCCTGCAATGTCTCTGTTGCCTAGAATTGCTTTTGCTACTGTAGCTCGCTTCTTGTTCCAAATAAATTTTTGGATTGTTTTGTCAAGGTCTGTGAAGTATGCTGCTGGGATTTCAATTGGGATTGCATTGAATCTATATAGCAGTTTT